TGTAATGGTGTGGTGGACTGCCTTGCTGTCACCTGTTTGGTGTAAGCACATTACTCTGGTAGACAAGGTTGCAGTTTCTGTTCTTTTTTTAGATTATTATTGCAACTGTACAGCTTTTGTATCTGATTCTATTTTAGGTCATTCAAGCAAGTTGTTATCTTCATTGTATTATTTCCAGCATATTCCCTTAAACCCTATGAAAGTAGCAGTCTCTGCAGTACTTAATGTCCTTTGTTAGAGGATAAGGCACTGCCATGTAAAACAGATAAATTTCTTGTGTTTTTCCATTTATGGTCCCTGCTTGCTTTTGAACACAAAAATTTCTATGTACGTTGGTGAAGTGAACTAAAAAAAGTTGCCTTTTATTTAGTGCTTCTGTGGGGAACATAGTCTGCCACCAAATCAGACAATACTGCTATTTTGAATGGAGTCACGCAGCATTTTATTTTTTTTTTCTTGTCATTAGCAATTACAAAGCTTGCTCCCTTAAGTATTGATATACAAGCAATTAAATGTTTACTCAATTTAAAATTTTTCCTTCGTAGCAAGAATTGAAATTACAGGTGCTAATAAAATATCTATCAGTACTTAGATTGACTAGTGGTTCATAAGAAAACAAAGCTATGCCAATTACGTTTTCTGCATTTATCTCTGAAGTTTTTTCTCCCAAATAGTCCAGTCAGATAGCTTCTCTTGTCAGTTTTCTTGGGTAGTTTGTGGCTATTTTCTTCGTTAGATGTTTTTCACACTCTGCTGAGATTTAGAAGTTCGTCATCTGCTTATAAATTCTTCCCCAGGCTGCAAGGGTCAATGTGTGATAAGGAAGTTAAAAAAAAAGCAAACAAGCAAAAAAAAAACCCACAAACCAAACCTGAAAGCAAACAAAAAAAGAAACGTCCACCACGTACTAAGCAGACTTGTATATGAAAATGGTTGAAGGGGTTATTTTTGTTGCTGCCTGACCTCCTCGTCTTTTCTTTTTCAGAGTTCTAAAATTTAAAGGTAGCCTACTTTGTAATTTAAAGCTTAAGTGACAAGGGCTCTTAGTGTAGGGCAGCTCTGTCAGTCCCAAATATTTAATCATGCCTGTAAAGTGAAGTCTTACTTTAGGATTCTTAACAGCATAGTTTTGCAGAGTAGGGCAGGCTTCAGAAACCTGTTACAGGTGTTGCAGCATGCTGGATTTCCTTTACCAAGTGAAATGTACTGGCAGAAACTCAGTTGGAAGTAGCAGATTGTTCCCTGGCAGAAAGGCAAAAGGTCATCATTGAACTGTCCCCTGACATTTTGCTGGAGATGGTCTCTTGTGGTTTATACTTGCCACTGAGTTCTGAGTTCAGCTGGAAGTGGGAGATGCTGTCGCACAGATAATTCTTTTGATGTGCCCTGGCTCTTATCTCCGTTTTGTCCATTACAGTCGTTGATACCTCTCTCATAGTTTTTTAACTGTCTTGGTCGTTTTTGGTTTTGTTGTTTTTGTTTGTTTTTTTTTTCAGATGTAATAGTGATATTTAAAATACAGAGTAAGTCAAGAAAATCTCCAGCTGCTTAGTTCTTCAAGTGTTCTAACTGAAACATCTAAGATTTCTAGAAATGTAACTTTTCCAGATCTGTTTGATGATCTTTACTTGAGAATGCTTCAAGAACAACAGCAAAACAAGGGTGTGGTATTCTAAAAACGGCTGATGTGATAAATATCACATTGATAAATTCAAAGATAGGAGAATCAGAAGCATGGTTGCTGTCTTTATTACTAATTACTAGAGATTGGTGGAGCGGTGTGCTTCCTTTTGAATTCCTGAAAAACATTCTGGAACACAAGCTATTTGTAAGCACCTGGAATATAAAAGCTGAGTAAAAGACAGCAAGGACAATTCATTGAAGTAATCATTACTTCATTTCACTGATAGGCCTACTGTATACAAGGAGGTCAGTTGATGTCTTAGATTTGGTCTTTAAAAGGACTTTAGATTCTCTTTTCTCAGGATGTTTTTGCTGGGGAAGAACAGTTGGGAAAGCTACTGTTGTGATTAAGGAGACCAGTCTCTTGTCAGCTACTCTTCATGATTTTCACAGGGTAGTTCCCCTAATGAAATTATATGATTATTAAAAATTAAGAAGCCATAAAGCTGGGAGGGATTGTAGACCTTTTGGAGTGTGGTAGTGGAAATCAGAATGCCTTGAAGATTCAGAAGCCTGTGGCAGGGGAAGGGGTACAAATGAGAAGAGTTTTGTGCCTGCACTAATGCAGGAGCAGTCAACTGCCCAAATGCAGTGTAGTACACAGCATTGTGCTTCTCAGAGGGAAATCATTTGGACGGCATAATAGGCTGAATATGTGAAGGGAACATGACGTGGGCTGTGTATCTGTTCTGTGTTTCAGCAGGCATGTGAAGCAGTGTGTACCCTCAGTTCTGGCCTTCTCAGGCACGAGCTGGGATACTGCAGCTCATTCTAGGAAGGAGTGGATAAGCTGGGAAGAGTGTCGAGGGGAGCAATGAGAGACCTGCAGAAAGCGTGATGTTAGACCAGCTAGGAAGGACTGAAGCACTAATTACATTAATCTTCAAGATGAACAGTCTGCTGGCAAAATGCTTCCCTCTGAAACTGGAAAGAATAAAACTGTGGTATAGTCTGGTCTGGGATTTCTGATTAAAGGGGTGTTGGAGTCCACTTTGGCGAGACGAAGGTCCTTTTCTCACAGATATGCTGTACTCTTTTTAGCTCATCTTTAAGAATATAATATTGGAGTGTCTCTGTAGTTAAATTTAGTGCGGTCTAGGAGCCATAAGAAAGTATGTTGTTTTTTTTTTTTTTTTTCATTTTCTGCTGTTTTATTAGTAACTTGAGTATTTCTGTGCCAGGCAGAGTAGTTAGTTCATTTGTAATGTAGATAGTTGTGAGTGTGGTTAGCAAGGTACTTAATACTGTTGGTAGGCTTCAAGAGAATTAAGTGTGAACTGAGCCCTTTATAGTGTGTGCAAAATGTCATTATCTGGATTTGGACTCTAGAGGATTTCGTGGCAGGCTTGTGAAATCTATGTCCTTCCATTCAGAAAAATTAAAAACTTACCGATTCTGTCTATGTCTGAAACAAAGCAAGAAAATCCTAAACATACACAAGAAAGAGCACATCCCTGTCTTTTATTGGCTAAGTTGCACCTCCAGCACCAGTGTTTCTGGTTTTGATCTTGCTTGTATTAAGCTGTAGCTGCCTAACTCTCCAGAAACAGAGTAAAGAATTTTGTTTCTTTTTGTCATTGCTTAATAGGAGCATCTTCTAAGCAGTTGAAGGTTGTGCAGTATGAGAGAACTCTTCTGAAGTAGAGTTTGTTTATCTCAGGAGAACATTCTTCAAGGGTTCAGGAATTTCAGCCACCTGATACTGGGGAGCCATGTGCTAATAATGAGAAACCTGTCTAAGTAAGATGAAGAAACAGAATTATGGGTGAGGAGCTTACCTTTCTTTGAGCTAACAACCAGGTTCAGAAGCAAATGCTACTTGCCACAGGGAGGCGTGGCTTTATAGCCTGTAATAATATATTTTGAGGTCTGATGCAAATAATTAGCATGGGTCTAGGATTTACTTCACAGGAAGCTCCACTCAAGCATTTCATTTCTCATTTTGTGGATTTTTTTTCCACTTAAACTATTTGTGTGGAGAGCTAGTCCTAAGTGGTTTCTATCTAAAAGTTTTGAGCTAATTTTGAAAATGCATAAATTTTATTTCAAAACATCTCTTACCTGTCATCAGTTGCAGTCTGGTAAGAATTAGACCTTTCATTTTGTATTCTGAGATTAGTTTACATAGATAACTACAAAGTTGCTTTTGTCTTTGAAAGTGCAATCAGATGTGGTAGGACTCAATTCTCTTTGTATTTTAGCATATTCAGTATATTTTTGTAATCTTGTGTAAAGTTGCCTCATGGTAGAAACTGACGGTAGTATCTTGCACAAAACTTCACCTTCTGTTTTGATGGCAGCATTTTATGTGTGACTAGTAAAAAAATACATAGTTGTGACTAATAGAGGGCATGCTATATAATTCTTTTTTGTTTACATAGCTTAAGGTGTGGCTATAATGGGCACCCAAAGCTACATGGGTCAGATAGGGCTACCATCATGAGGTTGATTTTGTTTTTGGTGGAATTTGCTACTGTACTATAACTACAAAAGACTGTCTTCTGAGGAAATAAGAATGGCACAGTAGAATAGACAAGGGTTTGCTTAGAATATGTGATTGAGAAATAGGTTAGATATCCTGGATAAATGATTTACAAATGATCTAGCCAAAATCAGGCAGACAGTAAGGGGAGGCTTTGACCCAACAGAAATAAAAATAATTCAGTAAACATGTAAGATGAAAGGCAGAAGACAAATAGCACATGCCTTTTGATAAGACACAGGAAAGAAACCTGAGCCATTTTCCTGTAATTTACCTCAAATTGCAGACCTAAAAGAGGCACATCATGAGCAGACTAGCATGTACTTTGCTGTATTGTTATGCTCTATTAGCTCTTGAGTACAGAATTTAAATGAGCAGTTAGGTAATGGTCCATTAAAAAAGTTGCTCATTAGCTTTCCAAACATTAATCCCTTTATCCAACTTAGTTGATTTCTTCTAAGAGGAAAAAAGAACAGGATAGATTTTCTTTTGACATTTATAAGCCTAACTTTTAAGTTAGTATAGTCTTATTTGTCCAGCATTGTCTTATAGACTTATTTGAGGACAGAGATTTTAATTCTGGATCTACTGTATATTAAGAAGATGAAGAGGAGTTGTCCTAACATGTTGTAGAAGTGACAAGATTGGAATAGCATATTATTTTGATTTCTGAAGAGAACCTTGCAGCAAATCTTCTTCTTTATCTGACCTGAATTCTTGTCATCTGAAATAAGAGAAGTCCATTAACATCTTTAAAAAATGTCTGCTAAGCAACAATTCTGCGTAAATATCTTCAAGAGATTTTAATGTAATTAAATGTCTTTTTCTCTTACAGTTCTCTTTGGCTTTCTTAAGTGAGCTGCGCTGTGTGGCTGGAGGGAGCATTCGAGAATGAGTGGTGCAGCGCTGGGCCTTGAGATAGTGTTTGTCTTTTTTCTGGCCTTATTCCTACTTCACCGGTATGGAGACTTCAAGAAGCAGCATAGGCTGGTGATCATAGCAACTTTGCTGGCTTGGTATCTCTGCTTTCTTATTGTATTTATACTGCCCCTGGATGTCAGTACGGTAAGAAACTTTACAGTCTAGCTTCAGCTGGGAGCTAAACCCCAGCAGCAGATGCCCACTGCCCACCCCCACGTGTCTGTAAGGGAGGAAAATCGTGAGGAAAAGGAAAAAAAAAAAAAAAAACACGCAACCCAGGGGTTGGGATAAGGGCAATTTAATAAAGCAACAGAGAGAAAGAGGAGAGACAACAACAATAATAACAATAAGACCTGTGATATAATATATAAAGCAGGTGACAATAAACCCCTTATCCCAGACAAAGCAGCTCTCCCTACTCCATCCTTCAGCTAACCCCCAGAAAAATAACTGCTGCTCCCCGGCTCCTGTATATAGAGGGCATGAAGTTAGTATGGTATCCACTACTCCAGGGGCTGGATAAGTTTTTTACACCCCCCCAAACTCTCCCCCAGCCTCTCCAGCTGCTTGTGGAAATTAACCCTACCCTGGCCGAACCCAGGACATTTTTAAACCATTGTTTCTAAAGATGGTATCTTAAAAAACAGCAGTTTCCAAATAGTATAATATTAAACTAAATGCTTCCTATCTTTTTGCACAGCAGTGATTGTTTACAATTAATTTTATTTTTTGTTGCCCTCATTAATTAAGAAATCTGTTTCAAATGTTTTAAAATTTCGTCATTTGTTTGTAACTTTTTAAAAAAATCTGTTTAGACAACATAAAAACACTTTCAGTTTTTTACTTACTTACCCTGCAGATTGCATGTTGGTTTTGTGGGTTTATTAATATATTTGACCCCAAATGTAAACCTGGAGTAAAGAAGATGTCTTTTAAAATGGGATTTACTTTTTTAAAAAGAAGTGTTATACCTTTTGTGGTCACTGACGTAAAATTAATTGTCTTTTAGACTATTTATAACAGGTGCAAACTTGCTGTAAACTCCAGCCCTGCAGAAAGTAATGGCTCTTACGTTACTCCTGCTCCAAGGTATGAGCTTTGTTTTCTTCATTAGACTATTTTAAAATAAGTATTTTATTATTTTCTTTTTTCAAATGATAGGGGTGTACTTAAGGCTAATAAGTTCTTAAGGCTAATAAGTTATCTGCGTGGTATGACATTTGAAGATTGTAAGCATACAGGAGGGTGAGGGAAAAGGTGAAGAAGAGTACATCTGTGGCTATTGGTAATAATGGCACAGTATTTCTAGCTGATTATCTAAATATTATTTTTTTATTTTATTTCATGCTAGATTTCCTCTATTTTATTGTTAAAGCAATAGAACTAAGCTTTTTGAGCAATCTTGGTAATCTGTGAAGAGGGACCTTGGTGAATGTCTTGAAGACATTAGACCTGAAGATCTAATTTTATACCTGAGGAATTAAATTAGTAGGCTTATGTAAGCAGCGTATCTAATTGCTTATTCTAATTGCAGATATATAGTGATTGGAGTTGTGTGAAATGTACTGCATCCTACCAAAGCAATGATGACTGTCTTCTGTCAGTAAGGGAGTAGTCTCTAAAACATGGTGGATATAGAGACTTTCCATGTCTGCATATTCTTTAGCCCCCATTGGCTGTTTCCACATCTTGTAGGTGTGAGCAGTATTATCTGTAAGATGATTAGAGTGTTTAAGATCTCAACTGATACGTCCACGTAGAGTATTGGCAGTTTTGTTGCCCTAAAGTGGAGGCTATCTGGATGTTGTATATCTATGGAAGAATAGTAAGATGCCAGACATAGTGACACAACATTGTACTCTTTATTTAAGACCACCCAGTGTACATTAATTAAACTTAGTTAGGTAAATACACAATTTGAAAACTGTACAATAGCCTTTCAGTTTACCTGAAGCTTCAGAACATGCTGGTGGATGGTATGCTTTAGTATATGACTTGAGTATATAAAATAACAATACCAACTTCAGTAGCAATTGAGCAGATAACTGTTGGTGCAACTCATGTTAAAACTTTGTTTGAAAACTTTAGTCATGCTACCTGTCATTCTGCAGTAATTTGATAGTTTTGAAATTACTTAGTCTGTGTGCAGAAAAACTCACAAGTCAGGCTTAACTAGTTTGATCCTGGAAAACACCAATTATTTCTCAGTAGATACTCCAGCTAAATTGACTGTATCGTCCCTTGACTCACTGTTGCTTCATTATCCAGACAGGTGTGAGGGAAAAGAAGGGTCTTACTGTGGATGAGCACTTTGTCTTTTGCTCTTTTTTTTGACTTGAAAGGGTCTTGGCTTGTCTGGTCCCCTGAAGCAAACACTACCTGTCAGAGAAGTATTGTCTCAATAAATCAGAGTTTATATAAGCCTGACTAAATCCAGCTTCATGACAGAAAAAACAACTAATACACCTTTTTTTACCACTTAATGCTCTACATAATTGAGCTAGGTGATGGGGTCTCTGGGTATTTTTAAAAATGTGCTGCACTAACTAAAGTTAAATGGTCTTTGTCTACAGAAATGTTTTTTCTCTGCTTGAAGAAAGTACTTCCTGCCCCAGAAGATAACCTTAAATTGCTTAATGGCTTATTTCTCTTTAGTCTTTGAGCTACCTTTTTTTTCCTGTAAGAAACCTATTTTGTCCAGATGCCTTACTTGTGATGGGGAGAATGATAAATATTTTTAAAGGGCTGATTCAGTTTATTTTTTTCTGAGGTGTTTGATGGTGCACCATGTAATGTGTTACTTCTATGCTGTTTTCAAAGGCCTTTCTAGAGAGGGGAATTTGTTGAAAATAATCTTTACACTCTTGGCCCCAGAACTAACAATAAGCTTCTTTACATTGATACAGCAAGCAAAAATGTTTCAAACCATGGAGTTACATTCCTACTGGCATTATGCCAATTTTCTGGCGTGTTGTGTATTGGACATCACAGTTTTTAACATGGTAAGTAAGTCAAAAGAATATGACAGACTATGATATAGGTATAATTTCTAAGTGCAACATCTTAACAGTCATAGGCATATTCTTCAAGAACATATATCACTATTCCACAGACCTATCTATTAATATATTATTTGCTAGCAGTGAAATTTATCAAATCATTATTGTACTGAATTGAGCATACTTGGTTTGGGGTTTTTTTATTTATTTTCAGGTGGCAGCCATTTACTCTTGATGCACTTCGATAGTTGAAACTGAGCAATTTACACAGAGAGGTGTTTATGGATAGATTGTCTGAAAAAAAAATGGGGTTTAGGCAACCAGACACCAAAATAATTCCATGAATAAGTGGGGTAATTTTGGAGCAATATTTTAAATTGTTTTGTTTTATTGGATATACTATATAAAGCTCTATAAATATAGCTACAGCATACAGATTTTCCATGCTTTTGGGTTAGATTAATGTATGTATTCTGATCAACCTACCATCAAATAATTATTTTTGTAGCTCTGTCAAGAATATAAGGATTGGTGGTGAGTTCTTGATCAACACAGTTTTTTTCATAGTAAAGCTGTTATTTTTATGTGCAGCTTATTTAAGGTTTGCCATAAGACTGGTATATCTACGATAAAAAATGTACAGCTAGCTAGTTTTTTAGAGGCTTGTGCGTCTTTTTAGCTTAAACACCCCTGTCTCACTATCCTGCCACTGCTGAACTACTTGTTTTCTTCTGGGGGTGTTGACTGATGTGATACAGTTTTGTTTGCTTTATTCCTAGGATTCTGCTACCTTTCATGCAGTCATATGCCAGATCAGGAGGGTTCTCCATTACTGGAAAGATTAAAACTGCATTGATTGAGAATGCAATCTATTATGGCACTTACTTGCTGATTTTTGGAGCATTTTTAATATATGTGGCTGTAAACCCAAACTTCAATTTACAATGGTAAGAATGATGTTGAAAGCACTTGCATGAGTTCTTACAAAATTGTCCCAGGAATTCCCTTCTGTAGATGAAATGGGTCTTTTTTAAAAAGACAGTTCTAGTTGATCTCATTTTTGCTGGGTAGTGGGAAAGTTTTGTTAACTTTTTTTATGGGAAGGGTGTTTTGGACTAGTTACAGAATGTTTCTTCTAATTTTCTGATTTTGATATGTACAGCAGAGGAATTCTCTTACATTTGCAATGGAATTTTTTTACTCCTTCCAAATACATTTTCCAAGTTGGTGCAGAAACTTTCTCTGTGTTTTCAGAATAATGTTTTTTAAAAAGTCTGCATAGGTGTTTCCTGTGTAACACTTCTACCCACTCTAGATACTATTGAAACGCAATAGGGTAATTTAAAGTGGTCCGTATTTACAATGTTGCTAGTGGTATTCCCTCCTAGATAAGGTGCTATCTGGTGTAGTGGTTAGTTGCTTTCAACTTCCACTTCTGAACACAAATCCTGGCTTCTGAGGCTGTTTATTATAGTGGCTGCTATTATGTTTAATTATGCCATTAATGTTTGCTAAGTTCATGCTCCTTCCTAAGGGAACATACTCTGAAAGCAAAGATTTTTGCCTTTGCCTTTCCTTCAGAGGGGGCAGAAATGTGGGAAATAAAGAAAAATCAAAAGCAGCTCTAAATGTGGCCAAGTGGCAGACTGGCCCTAGGCAAGAATTACAGACGATACTAAGTGTGTTCCTGAAAAACTGAAAGCCATATCGGTGCAAAAACAATTCAAGGTTATTTTCTTGCCAGTGGAGTATGTTTGGTTTGGGTTTTTTCCTGTTTGCAGGTTTTTGTTGGGTTTTTTTCCTTAGGAACCAACTTCAGACTATTGGGATAGCTGCTGCAAACACATGGGGTCTCTTTCTTCTTGTGTTGCTTTTGGGTTATGGTCTGGTGGAAATTCCCCGTTCTCACTGGAATGGGGCCAAGAGAGGTTATCTACTCATGAAAACCTATTTCAAAGCTGCCAAACTGATGACTGAAAAAGCAGATGCAGAAGAGAATTTAGAGGATATTATGGAGGTAAGTAACTAGCTTTTGCTATGAAATAAGTGAGGGCTGCTGTTTAATCATCTCTGAATTTCCTGGTATTGGGCATGTGTGGCAAGAAAACATAAGTAGCATGAACTTACTGAGAACATTAAATTAAGAAAAATAGTGTGCCACTTTATGACACTTGATCCTGTGTAAAAATAAGAAGATAAATAAATAGTCCTTGATGTGAAGAACTTGGCAACTTGATAGGCATTCGTTGTTTGGTTTGTTCTTTTGTTTACTCTTTTGACATAGTATTGGTCACTAATGAATAACATTCCAGAGTGCACTTGAAAATACAGTGTACAGATATTTCACTATTGTTCATGCAAATTGTGTATGTCTGCTCTTATGCTCTTCTACCAGTGTGTTTGTGGTGTCTTTAGAAGTTTCCAAGTCAGATTTGTGGAGCTATGCTGTTTGTCTTTTGAGAGGAAATTATGTGAGCAGTAGACTCAAAGTAGTTGAAGAACAGAATGGAAATGCAAACCATTGAATAACTATTCCCTGTTCTGCTGATAGCATAGCTTGGAAATACTACTTCCCAAAAGTTGTAGGGTTGAAGCTCTGAAGTGGTCAGGCAGTCAGACTAGATGATCATGTAGGTCCCTTACAACTTAAAATGCTCTATTCTGTTCTATTCTGTTCTGTTCCCTGATGTGCAGCATACCTGGTGCCTCAGAGGCTCTTCTGTGGTTTAAGACCCCAAAGTTTTAGCAGAAGCACTAGTTCTGCACTCAGATACTATATGCTGTGCTCACTTCTTTTGGCCAAAGTCTCCCGCTGTTACTGGAAGGATTGAGGAAAACTCTACTTGTATTTCCCTGAATTTTTTATCATTCTTCCCAGAGCCCTGGAGTCTCTTTTAATCAACCTCAGACTTTTTGCTATGACATCCCAAGTACCCATGTGAAAGACCAGGAATGGGTGGTAGTCTAAAGGCTGTACTAAGCTCTTCAGTTTTGTGGTGGTGTCCCTAGTTCAGGCCGCAGGGAGGCAGCAAACTTCCCTGAAAAGAGAGTCGTGTGCTAGACTGCTGTTGTGTGCTAGATTGTCCTTTAAGTCAGGCAGGGTGACAGACAGATTCTGAGGTTAATGTTACACACAACATAAAATATATTGCGTTGTTAATATATTAAAAAACTTTGTTTCAGTGTTTTGACACTTCACTTTTTTTTCCCCCATTTTTTGTTCTTTCAGTCTAGAAGCAATTGCGCTATACCTTAGAAATCATGGGCAGTATTTAGTTTTCAACCTTCACAGGAATAGTGAAGTGTGTGAAAATATTTTAAAACGTTAAAAATTCTGAAGAGTGCCAGTGCTGACTGTGAGAATTTGTTTGTAAATATTATGAATTGCTGGTGTCAAATATATCACAGAATTTTAGCTCTCACCCACTTTAAGCTTCAGTTTTCTCCCTTTATCAGAGATTCTGAAAACAAAAGAAACTGTAGTACTTCTCTAGCTATTAGATAACATTTTTTTATGACTGATGAATGCCGAACGTTCTCAGAACTGAGCTATGTGGAGATAATGTGAGGAAGATACAAAATGAAGTCGTTTAAAATTATATTCATCAGGGTGCTTAAAGTAATAAAAGTGAAATTAAAGCATGTAAAATTGAGATTTCTCCTCTTTACCTACAGCTAAACTGAATTATTTTCCATTTCAACATTCATGCGTAGAAACCAATCCTCCATGCATTCACCATGGTTGCAGGCTGATATAATGTTGTGGTTTGTTTTTTTTTTTTTTTTTTAAATACATGTATGTTCTTTATAAATACTCTTTCAAATGTGTTTTAGTAGATATCTAGTAAAGCTGTGACTTCTAGGAAATTCCACTGGTTTTAAGCACTGAAGTTTATCTTTTCCACTGGGAGGGATGGAACTCTTACCTGATCCTGTAAATTTTTTTTCATCTATTTAACATAGTGGAACAACTCTATGTTTTTTTCTCAACAGGAGGTCCGGAAAGTAAGTGAGAGTATCAAGTACAACCACCCTTTGAGAAAATGTGTTGATACAATACTAAAGAAGGTAAGAAATTGCTTATCAACAGCCAAAATTGTTCACTTGGAAGGGGTTGCTTCCTGCACCTACTGAATACTTGTACATTATTTTCATTTCCCTGTAACTGAAAATCTCTAATTGATATCTAGTGAGTTTCTGACCAGACTTCAAATTGAAATTCTTTGTGCAATGCTCTTATGATGTATGTAATTGTCTGTTCTATTTTGACATATGTGGTATTTTAGAAATGGTAAGATCGAGGCTTAGAGTGAGCTTTTCAGTTGCATAAAATGCCCCAAACTTTTCAAATAATTAGCTACTTCTTCATCTTCAGTTAATTTTCTCTTTTCCTTCCAGTGTCCTGCTGAGTACCAGGAAAGAATGGGTAGGAACATGGATGATTATGAAGATTTTGATGAAAGACAGAACAGCTACCCAAGTGAAAAAAGCCTGGTCAAACTTCACAAGCAGGTATATTAATAAATGAGAGAACACCTCACTTACGCTAATGTATGAGAATAAATGCTAGTCAGACAAAGATTTGTAATGCACTTCAACCAAATTGCTGAGTGTAGTAGGTTTTTGGATTGCTACTTAACAGAAACTTTTCTCAGTGAAAGAAAATATAGAAGTTTAATATCCCAGGTGTTGTCCAGATCAAATTTATGGATGTGTAAGAAATGTTCCTGTTGTGTCATATCTTGCCAGTGCTTTAACTGTCAGTGAGTAAGTCTTGTAATGAATGGTTGACAGTGCATTCTGAAAAAGAAATTGTAGTAAAAGCTTGGTATTCACTAATACTCAAAAAATGATATTTTGGAAAAAGAAGGCTGTTACTGCTACAGATAGATTGTGATGAAAAGAACTGCAAAACTCAGGAATTGAGGATTACAGGAATCATGTAAATGTAATGCAGTCATTTTAAAGGAATTTTGCAAGGCTCTTCTCTTGTTTCTTGAAACAGGTATGTTGTAACCATAATTTCTTGGAATTCATTGTAGGTCATCTATTCAGTACAGAGACATCGTCGTACACAGGTCCAGTGGCAAATACTTCTAGAACAAGCATTTTACCTGGAAGACGTGGCAAAAAATGAAACCAGTGCAACTCGTCAGTTTGTTCATACATTTCATTCTCAAGAACCAGAGAATAAAATCATTCAGTATTTCTACACACCAACTGTTGGTAAGTACTGGCATGCAGATTTTGAGCATGTAAAGGAGAAGTGCACTGTTTTGTAAGAAGGACCAGTTGTTTTATGTTAAAACTTTGGTTACAGTAGAGGGAAGCAAATGTGCGTCTTCATGCACTTATGTAATGAAATGGCTTTTGCACGTTGCTCTTGACCAGAACCTTACAATTTATTTTTTTACAGATTTAATAGCAGTTACATGTTGTGGTAGCGATAGCAGACTTTGAAGCCTTAGAAGAAGAAATTAAAATAGCAACACTAAATTACTGGATCATGGCTATGGTCTGTGTTTGTGGGATATTATTGAGGTGGCACTCGCTCTTCCAGTAAAGCAAAGAGGAAGGCACTCTTTTTTCTCTCATGTACCAGACATTTGGAGATGCAGCTGCTTGTGCATCTTTTCAGAGAGTGTTTTCTCCTAATCATATTTTAACTACTAATTTTGTTGTGCACTAGCAATGTTTTATTTCTAGTGCAGGACAATTTAATTTTACAGCCTGGACTTTTTTTCTGAGAGAGTAACAGATTATAGAATCATAGAATCACTGTAGCTGGAAAGGAGCTCCAGGATCATCAAGTCCAACCTTCATCCTAATTTCCCTAATGACTAGTCCATAGCCTCAAGTGCCACATCTACTCGTTTTTTGAACACCTCCAGGGATGATGACTCCACCACCTCCCTGGGCAGCCCCTTCAAGTGCCTAACCACTCTCTCAGGGAAGAAATTCTTCCTAGTACCTAATCAAAACCTTCCCTGGTGCAACTTGAGTCTGTTTCCTCTCGTCCTATGGTCAGTAATTTGGGAGAAGAGACCAACACCAGCCCCTTTTAGGCAGTTGTAGAGAGCAGTAAGGTCTCCTGTCAGTCTCCTCTTCTCCAGACTAAACAACCCCAGTTCCCTCAGGCAGTCCTCACAGGGCATGTTTTCCACTCCTCCCATTTTGTGAGGGAGGTCGGTTTCTGATTGTGCAATTTTCATTAACTGATGCTGGGGGGGGGTGTGTTTGTCTTTTCCAGAGTGGTACTGGGAATGCCTTCTACGACCATGGTTTTACAGAGTGCTTGCAGTTGTTCTGGCCATGTTCTCTGTAATTGTTGTGTGGTCAGAGTGCACGTTTTTCAGCACAAACCCAGTTTTATCACTATTTGCAGTTTTCATACAGCTGGCAGAAAAGACATATAATTATATATACATAGAGGTAAGTTTGAGATAGTCACTCAACAAAAATCTTTTCAGGTAGATTGTTATTACAACAGTAGTAGATGAGATTGATTTGCAGATTTTTTGTGTCTAAATATTCTGTCCACTTTCAGAAGGTGTCTGAAATATGTAATACTAAACTTTGTTTCTTTGGATGGAGTCTGTCTTTTGCCAGTTCTTGTAATTCTCCAGTATAGGGTGAAGGTGTGATCCAGTTGAGCTGTATGTCATGTGTCATAGAATACTCTGTGAAACACTAGCTTGGAGCTTAGGTGTTTAGGCTTTGTGTCTAATCAGCAATGTGACCTCTTTTTCCTGAATGGGAATTTGCTGCTGACCAGAAATCCAGTCACAGGTGTGACTAGCATATGCCTGCACAAATTTATCAGTAAAAGGACTGAATTGAAAAATTCCAGTATACTAATGAAATAGGTTGAGTTTAAAACACTTGTTTTTACCACTTCTTGGTAAGAAATGTCAATTCAGTCATCGTAACTGTCAAGGCAATTACAGCCTTTTCATGTACAAAACAAGTAGGAGAATAAATGTTCCTGCGGTCAATTGTGTTAGGTTACATGAAGTACAGAATGCTACAAGTATCATTCTCAATTCTCAAAAACTGAAGCTTCTCACATCTGGTGTTATTGTCCCATCTCAAAAATTAGACTGAATAGACTGAATACATAAAAACCCGTAGTAGAGCTGGTTTTGATTTTTTTTTTTCCCTCCAGATGGCCTGTTTTCTTACCATCTTTTTCCTAAGTATCTGTGTTTACTCTACTGTCTTCAGAATCCGTGTATTTAACTATTATTACTTAGCTTCACATCATCAGACAGATGCATACAGTCTCCTTTTCAGTGGCATGTGAGTATATTGCAAAATTTTTGAAGATTTTCTGTGAAATACTCAACTGAAAATGTCCATGAAACTTTCATTTATATTCTTTAATTTATAATCATATGGGTGTAAAGCCTATTAAGTGGTACATCATTATTCTGTGATATAACCAGTTATGATTGCTTAATACTTTTAGTGCAATAAACTGTTTTAAATGCTGTTACCTCTTGCATTTGTGCAGGCTGTTCTGCCGTCTTACTCCTCCATTATGCTTGAACTTTTTGGGGTTGACCCATATGGATGCAACAATCTCTCACAAAAACACTCAGCCAACTGCTTATACATCTGTAAGTACAGAAATTGCAGGTTTTAAGCTTCTTTATGGCTTGCAGAGTAGGCAACATATTTTTAAGTACTTCTCATAGTAAGATTCAGACACTCAAATCTTTTCACTACAGGGTAGAATACTTACTTATATACCAGGAGTTTGGCGACGATTGCTAGGAGTCTTCAGTAGGACTATTTTTCTATTTTGGCGTCTTTATCCTAAGAAAGTAAAGTATTATGCTGAAGAGTTCAGGCTGTTCTTCAGTTCCTGACAGCTTTAGCTTCCACTGACTTTAGCATATGGGACATCTTTCTAGATTGAGAGCAAACCTAACTTAAAAACAGTGAGTTTTGTTTTAATGAACCACCAGTTTCTGTAGGACAGCTAGTTACATCTCACATCTTTCATGTTAGCAGGCAGATTCTTAGTGTTGTCCAGAGACTCTGTTCACAGCAGGTGAAGAGATCCACCATATTTGAACTGGTTCTGGATTAGATGAGGCAACAAGATCTATCATCTTAGAAACTTTGAAGTGCATACCCTGTTAGAGGTCACCTTTATATCTGGTTATTCTGGGTCAACTGCCTGAATCAGATCTCTGATGGTAATCCTTATCTGTGCTCCAGTAGCTAAAGGATTTTGTGTTGTGGACTGAAAACAGTGATACAGCACAATCTTTGTGGATGTAGGTAGAATTTGTCTGATTTGGGCTTGTTCTTGTGGGTTTTTTTCTAGATAATGGGATCCATGAGAGTGCTGTCCTTCATTGCAGATGGATTCTATATATATTACCCAATGCTTGTTGTCATTCTCTGTATTGCCACATACTTTAGGTAAGTGATTTGCAGGACAGATCCTCCATGTTTATTTACATTATTTGTTTCACCAATCCAAAAGAGATTCAATTCTCCTTTTTCAGCAGTTGAGTTGTGACATAGTAATTAAAATGCAAAACCTAAACCTATACATTGCAATTTATAGGTATACAATGTGTGCATTTTAAGAATATTGATTATATTAATTCAGAACTGAGCTGAGGAGGGGGTTCCTCATTAAACTTCCTTCCTCGATTTTGACATCTGATTTGTTCAGACTTTGGATCCCCCAAAGATTTAGATTCTGCTTTTGAGATTAAAATTACCACGAGAAACCGATATTTTCAGAGAGATTTTCTGGCAAATTTAAGAAGCATTAGCAGAAACTTCAAGTAATGAATTTCCTAACAGCCTCATAATGACTTTCTGATGTGTTACTAGCACTTCAGTTTGAAAGCATACTGTTTTAAATCATTCGATTGTGTTTCCCCAAGCCACTGTTTGTTGGAGGCTGGAAGGGTAATTGCAGAAAATATCGTTACAGAATCACAGCATGTTATGGGTTGGAAGGGACCTCTGGAGGTCACTGAGTCCAACCCTCCTGCCAGAGCAGGACCATCTAGTCTAGGGCAGGTCACACAGGAATGCATCCAGATGGGTCTTAAAAGCCTCCAAGGCAAGAGACTCCACAACCTCCCTGGGGAGCCTGTTCCAGTGCTCTGGGACCCTTAAAGAAAAGTAAAGTTTTTCCCCGTATTGAGGTGGAACTTCCTGTGCTCCAGCTTGTGACCATTGCCCCGTGTCCTATCACAGGGTGTAAATGAGAAGAGATTGCCCTTTCCTTCCTGACGCCCAGCCCTCATATATTTATACACATTAATTAGATCCCCCCTTAGTCTTCTCTTCTCCAGACTAAAAAGCCCCAGGTCTCTCAGCCTCTCCTCACACGGCAGGTGTTCCAGTCCCCCAGTCATCCTCGTAGCCCTTCGCTGGACTCTCTCAAGTAGAGAGAGTGTTTGCTTTATATTTGCATTCCAAAATACCCGCTTTTGACCACTGTAAGAGAAGAGATACTTTTGGTCTGACCTTGCTCAGCCATGTTCATGTTGACTTCTGCAGTTTTGCATTACTTTTCAGTCAGAAGCAATGTATGTGTTTTGAGTCATGTAGGATGTAGTTAAATGCCTTGAATGGCCATTGATGCCCTGTGTGCATCCATAGATCCTAAGACTACAAGTGTCCAGTTCTAGGTTTTCCTTGTTTACCTTTAGGTTAGGTGATAAAAGTGGTGGTGGAGGGGAAAAAAAGAAAAAAAAAATAGCCAGTGACAAGAAAATAATTTGTTAGTTCTTGCCTATGATGATCCTGGGTTTTGAGTGTGATAACGAAAAGGAAGAAAAGAAACTAAAAGAAAGGAGGTTGTTTTTCATAAATTTTAATGCCCTCTAATAATTCAGATACATGCAAAACCAAAAGATTAATAAATCTGCCAAGGAAAGCTGTCTCCCTTATTTAATCCATCAGTCTTGGACGTTCAGGTAGTACAAGAAAGAACTTTTCAGCATAAATATATAGTGAAGCCAACTTTGAATATGATGTTGGTGGTCCAGTTTGGAGAAAGGAAAACAGTAACACAACTACAGTTGTATTCTCTGATGTGAAGCTGAAAAGGTGAAAGTGATTTCATGCTATCTAGTTCTAGGACTAGCCTAAGAAAGACAGGCTTATTATCTGACTGCTGGCTAATGAGGGTTAAAATCCAAAATGGCAGCCAGCATCCCTGCAGCTCAGGAGTGTAGTACACACTATTCCCAAGTGAAACCTGAGGTGAAAGTTCCCTTTCCTGTGTTACTGTTTCAAAACTACAGAAATTATAGTAGGCAGAATTTTTATGGTATTTGTCAGCTGGCATAGAAGAGTCAGTGAGATGTCATAGATGGAAAGTTCTCAGGTATAACAGAATTTATAAGTTAATTCTCTCATCATATTCAATTTGATTTAGGACAGTGTCACTGTCCTGTATTTTCTAATTTTTCAGCGAGTAAATAATCATCCCTTTCTTCTGCGCTGCTTTTTTACTTGAATTGTCTGTAAATTTCTGAATTAATTTGTTCTACATTTTGCTCTATAGTGTATCTAAGCTATTAATTGTAAATTAACAAAGGAAATTGCATCTCCTTCTGCGTTTATCAGTTTAGGAACTCGTTGTTTGAATCTTTTGGGATTCCAGCAGTTCATGGGGGATAGTGAAATGACCTCTGATTTGATTGATGAAGGAAAAGAGCTAATCCAAAGAGGTAATTTAGGTTCTCTATCCTGGTCTTCCTACATAATAGAATACATTTTTGCATTAAATTTCCATGAAATGTTGCAAAAAAAAAAAAAAAGTATAGCTTGTCAATATTTTGAAAACTATACTGACACCGCCTACTGCACAAAATGCATGACTTACAGCATCGTGGTAGCTATATAAACTTGCTTGTGTAATCTGTCATAAAATGATAGTTAGCACTTAAATTGTCTTTATCATCAACAAACTAATTTTATCTTTCTTTGTGTAAGTGTATCGATTGAGCTGCTTTCATAATTCCTCTAGGATTTTTTGCTGATTCAAGTAACTGTTCTGTCACAGAAAGCATGTTGTTCTGCAGAGCTGTAATAATGTGCTGTTTTGGGGAGCTTTTTAATTATTTTTTTTAATGTTCATTTTCATTGAAAGTTTTTCTTGAAAATTGTTAGAAGCTGTTGTGTTTCTTGAGTAAGTGTTTAGAAATCAAAATCTCTGGATACAATATTATATTATGGAATACTTCTCCTTTGATAGTTTATCAAAAACAAAACCTAGATTTACTTGCAGTAGTGGTATTTCTTTGGAGAAAGAAGAATGTCTGTCATTCACTTAAACAAGAGGTTACTATTTCTTTTATACTGTGATTTTACACTTACAGCAGATAAGAACACAAACTGTCCGGGTTGTACTTTGGGACTCAGAACTTCAGCAAGAATTTGTTTCAATAATGCTCAGGTTTCTTCTTGATAACATACTTTTTCCAACTATTTCCAACAGTGGTTTTGGTTTTGTTTTTTTTTTTTGCTTTGCCAGCTGGTATCCAAATGTTATGACCTGAGATACCATCATGATGAATTCATTTTAATGGGAAACTCCGTAATAATAGACAAGGAGCTTTGTCTTTTGTTTTAATTCAATTGTATAAGCCATCTATTTCAATAAGAATCTTTGCTAGTTAAGTTTCAATGTTGTTTAAAAAAAGTATTTATAATGATTTGTCTTGCATGGAGCTCTGACTTTTTTTCATTTATAGAGAAAAGAAAACGACAAAGGCAGGAAGAAGGTGAAAACAGAAGAAGGGTATGAGAATCTTTTAGCTAATTATAATATTAATATACTACAATATCTGATAGGGTTTACTATTGCTATTTTATTCAGTATGATCTGTTTCACAAAAAAATAGATGAAATCAGTTCGTTCTTGCAGAATAGTCTTGATTGGGGGAGAAGATATTGTACATTATATTTTTAAAGGATATGAGGATGAATGTGGTCACACTATTTGAAATCGTTGTTACTGTGTTGTGTGAATGGTGTATGCAAATAGGTATAAGAATTATTAAAACCAGTCCTATTTCTAAGATACAGAATAATCTGACATGGCTTATTATCAGTTTGTTATGTTGATACTGCTCTGCTTGAAATAACTGCAGTTGCAGTGTCATCATTCACCCACCCAAACTTTTCAATGAACACACAAGCAACAGGTAAGTAATTGACAGATTTTTTTATTGGTGTTTTTTTTTTTTTACTTTTTCCCACAGAGGAGGGAATTACATTAAAGACAGAATTAATAGTGTTACTACTGAGTAAGAAACAATGCTTGATTCAGATCATACTTTGAGTGCATACTGCATTGAAAGGTTTATGGAGGCAGTCAATCCAAATAAAAAATAATTCAGGCAGCTTAATTTTACAGAGCTTCAGTTAACTATAGTTTTAGTTTTTCATTAACTTATAACATTTGGAATTTAGTATAGAAAATCACAATCAAAGAGATGAATGAAAAGGATACATGCAAAAAATGAGCTGACTAAAGGAAGGGGAAAATTGTGTCCTGAGAAAGGCAAGGTAATACCAGAGCTAATTTCTCTTGGCTTTCCAAGCTCAGGGATACTTTAGTTCTAGATGACAGCTGGTACTGCATAGACATTTCTTTTGATACTCTTCCCCCCAGCTAATAGTTTTAGAACTTGAAATTGTGAAGCAGAATAGTGGCAAACGCATGATGCATTTAGTATACACTGAAGTGATGTGACATTAAGCAACAATTTTAGTTCAGCTGCAAACTCCATTTCAGATGTTACCTGTTTTTTTAATTTTGTGTTAAATGCTGCAGCACATTGATGCTTGAAACTTTGGGGCTTTTGAGAGTGTTATCTTTTACTGAATCATGATTAAATGTTTGATCCTTCTGCAGCTTAGAACTGTAATGTACAACACTAAGTAGTACAGTAACACTGAGTATACCAGTTCCTACCAGTCCCTAATCTGGCATCTGGATGTGAATCTGAAATATATTAGAGTTATTAGAGATATTGGAAAAAATTCAGTATGTTTCTGTTGAGACATAGGGTTGTCTCCTAATAAAAACATGAGACATTTTCTTCTCTAATATCTCATAAGACTTCATACTAAAATGTTTATGTACTAGAACGTGGTGGAATGGAGCAGAACCAACAAGCTTAGTAAAAATGGCCTGTTAAAATGGTTTTTTTTGCTCTATGCACCTGGTTATTTTTCTGTTGTGCCACTAGATGGCAGTGGAAATTTAAAAAAAAAAAAAAAA